ATATATATATATATATATATACATTACAAGTTTATGACAAATTACGTGAAATGAACGTCTGAACGAGGTGAGATCAGTTAAGACTCACGTAGATGCAAGAAAAGAAGGAGTGATCATGATATTAATAATCTTCCTTTTATTAACAGGCTAAAATTACTCCGAATTAGATAACCCCCCTCGTTTTCCTGTCGAGATGAAAGTATCGACTCTGCCATGAATGGGCATGACAGAACGAACAATGACAAAAAGAAAATTCACAGAAATTCGTGGTTGTATCTCGTTGGAAACATTTGCAAATCGAATAATTAACTTCAACATAAAGCGAATCATTAAGTTTATTATACGTCCATGATCTCACGCATAAACAGATAAATTAGAATCTCTTTTATATTCCAGGAAAATTAAAAAGTATACTAAGAAACGGCTGTCATTTTTTTTACGCCAAGTCTTTTGTAGAAATTTTTAAAAATCGTCCAAATTTAAGTGGCAGCCGCTTTCGTATCGAATACAAAGAAATGACAAATCGTCGTACATGGTATGAACAATGGGATTACTAAAGGAATACGATGCAATAATACGGTGCATAGTAAATTCTTGAGACCCTGTTTTCTCTACTTTTTTTTTAAGTATCGTATTCGTCATGAAGGTATGAATATTTGATATACATAAAAGATGATGATAAATGAATGAACGTATTAAAGCTAAATGTAGACAAAAAGGATAATTTTTTATACATGTTCGTCAAACATAATTACCCTAAGATCGTTCCTAGATGCAAAGGATAATATATTAATCACCCTTTTTTGCCATAGATTCAACAACCACCTTTTTATGCCTATTTACAGTTGTGCTTTGCATAGCTCTTTGCATAATTTACTATCGATTTGCAATTCGACGATCTTTGATATAAAATGAAATAAAAAGAAGAAAAATAATGAAACAAAAGAATTGAAAAAGTCGCAGGTCAACATGATTTGAAAGGCACTCGAAGGATGTTTGTCGAAAATCGAGAAAACGAAGAGAAGTTCGTACGATCTTAAAAGCATACTTGACACCTCCAAGATATTGTTAATCAAACAAAAGGCATTCACGGCTAATTCCCTATGCTTGTTTCAACATCCAGCTCGGCGTGTGCAAATCCCAGGAACGGTCATCTACTAAGGACAGAGACTCTGAACGAACAGACCCGGGCGATTGTCGAACGAAGGGGCTCGTAGTAAACTATTTCTTTTCGGACTTCGAGAAAAATCTTTCGCAAGTGTTACATACCAGGAAAATCTGATGAAGTAACACGCCGGGCAGGACTTTGCCTAATCGTGCCAATAAAATAAGAATGCTAATTGCGCACAACGAACGAACGTAAAATTCAGTGGAAGGGGCATTAAACAAGCGTGCGCTCGGCCGAGTGAAAGTTTTTGAAAAAAATAAAAAAACCAAACGTAATGGGACAGGAGAGGAGAAAGAAAGAAGGACCACGAAGCAAGATCGTCATAAATCGATCAATCCTATTGCGATTACGCGAACCTATTAATCCTCACCTTGTCACGTCCTCGCAGATCAACTGAGTGACACTGACTGAAAAGGAGAGCGACTGTATTGCAAGTATTGCGATCCTTCACAGAATTCTCCACGTCGTTTTGATACCGTGGCATTAGGAAACTAGTCGTACTACATATCTGTCGAGGTTTTGACACTTTTTTGAACGAGCACGTGCGTAGGGCGATTTTGATCATTGGGCTACTGACTATTCTAATTGAGAAATATGTTCACACACACAGACGACCTTCGGTGGAAAAGGAAAAAACGATTGACTCGAGGCGAACAGTTGTCGAACAGTTCGAAGAAACTCTAATGAAATTCCATTTTCGGAATCAGACAGAGGATAAAGTAAAAAAAAAAGAAATGATAAAGTAAACAATGATCAAACGTAAGGAGTTTGTTAAATTAACAATGAGGATTTCAAGAAACGATGGGAGAAACGAAGCAAAGGGTACGATGAATCCGAAGATGAACTAAAGAGTAAAATATAATAATTTGTGACGATGTTAGAGAATTGAACTAAACGTAGAATCACAACCACGATCGAACAGCACTCGCTCAAAAAGTGCGTTCATGATTAATTAGATGGAGACAGATATAAGAAACAATACAGAGATCGATAAATATTTGTTACATACCAATTACGTGTTAATCATGTAATAATATTAACACTAAACGTACCAAGCGGGGTCAAATGACCCCTTTCAAAATTTACTTTGTAATTGTACATTTATTGTTATTTCTTTCGCTCGTCTAACTTTCTGCAAATTCTTATATTTTCTGATTGTTTAATTTCTCTTAACTTATTTTTTACCGAGAAAAATTCTTTGCGAACCTTATGTACCACGAGGGGTCATTTGAACCCTTATGGTAAGAATAGGTATGAGTAAAGTACCGGTACGTTTAGTGTTAATAAGGCGAATGAAATAATTGAAATAATACAGATTCATCTCATCATATGAATAATAAATCGAGCTAAAACCTGTGGTGGGGTGTCGCAGTATGACTTCAAAGCCAACAACGATGACGACGCAGACCACGAAGACGGCTTGCTTTCCATTTGAATTCTGATTACTCCTCCTGGACGGCAGTCCTTTCCCAGTCGTCGGATCTCCATGGTCGGTGCTCCCATGCAAATAAATTGTGCGTTCCTTCACCGATACACGTTGTCTCGATACGACCGTGTTAAGATTCAGTAATTCTCGCGAACTTCCCTCGACATCCGCCTAATGTACAACCCCGATATTCGACAAACATAGTGTGCCCATTCGCGCAAAGCTGATCATCATTTACACGAAATTTTAATCCAATTGTATCCAAGTGTGAATCAAAATCTATCCAAAAGATGAAGTACAAAAAGATTTCGTCATGCCACCGGCCCTGGTTATCACTGTTATTACTGACAATGTGTTGTGCATGGATCCAAGCAACCCCAGAAGCCTGGAAAACGATGAAGGAGACGCTACCAGCGTACGCAATCACCGATTTTATCGACCATCTAAATTCGACCAAATGTCAAAGAGATATGAAAATGTTTCGTGATGCGGTGGATCACAAAATATTATGGGGTTTGAGAAGTTAGTAGGACTTTAATAATTCGATGAATTCCAATCGGTTATCGAATCGATAAGAACCAAAGAAAAAGGGGAAAGAAAGGAAACGATGACGAATTTACACTGGCCCGTGAATCGGGTCAAAATTGCATCGTGTTTGTGGCTGTGTTTCGTAATTGTGCGTTTTTATTGTTCGTATATTAAACTCGTTTATAACGCGGAAAATTCGGCTGGATAACGCTAAAAACGGCCACTCTTGTGCAACTGCGAATTCTCCGGGACGCGATTACGATGCGATTGTGTCAGATATGTAATTTTTCGTCGAGCCAACCCCCGACTCCGTGACTTTCTTCTCGTGTTGCACAAGAAACTAGTTTCTTCGGCGGAGCGCGTAAAAGCAGCGCGGTTATACGAACGCGATCGTTTGTCGATCGTCACTCTGTTTTCGTGATCAGCTGATTGACTTCGAGCATAGCCTGATTGCGCCGAATTTCTCATTCGTCATAAACCTATATCGATCATATCTTATGTTTTTCAAGCGTTGGACGCCAGCGGGGAGCCAAACTCAGGTTTCACCAGTGGGAACAATTTTTGGACAGGAAATCGTTTTGATTGCATTCATCTTAGTTCGAACTCTACGATACAACTGTTGCCGAAACATGAACAGAACAATTCTTTGTATCGGAACCCAAACGAGGAGTTTCCACCATTTGAGCTTAACTTCTTTTCCGCCTACCTGCGACATTACAGTACTACACAATATCATGTATATATAGCGGACGAAGTAAGTATGCAGATACTTTAGAATCCGTATCTCGATTGTCGCAGCCACCGGATAGATAAGATTTGCATGTCCTGCGATCTTAACGGTGCAGGAACATTTGAAAACTCGTACCATTTTTTAGAGCATAATAATTCTTGGTCTCTGCCTACCAAAATCGTGTACCAAAGATGAAGTCACAGTGATGGTGGATAAAATGTTGCGCAATGAAACTCTTTTTATTGCCAAGCTTTACTCTATGCACTTGAAAGTGATCGAAGTCTCTAATTTACAGAACAATTATAAATGGCTCCACAATCCGGAGATAATAATATGCATGTATGTAAATTAGGAGCGTAATTGAATATTATAACTTTTCGAGATCGGATCGACGTCGGTATATTACAGTTGCAATACCGACTAGAATCGTTAAAACTTTGCTTGCAGATTAATTTTGTCACTGGCACTCGGTTTGGTGATATTAGGCACGCTGTACGATGTTATTGTCTATCAAAAGCGTTTGCGTAAGAAAACGGAGTTCCTTACTTTTGAGAATAACAACACGACGGGTAAGTCATTCCATTCATCGACGCGTTACCGACTAATGATGTTTCACATGCGTAATTGCTCGTTGAAGCATTTTAAAAGTATTTTTAGCAAGAAAGAAGGTCGGTCAATTGATCGATCTCTAAAAAGATATCGTTTTAAATCACTTTGATTGATATCGTAACATAGAATAAACTTTGAATAGAACTGAAAAACGACATGGAAGAGAAATGCGAGAACAATCATGATGAAGCAGCCCTTGCGACGATAAAACCAAAAAATAAATTCGGGAAATATCTTATCTGCTTCTCCTGTTATTCGAACTTGCAGCATATATTTAGAATAGACTCGAATTCAGAAAGTATAGATATGTTTCATGGCATGAGATTCATGGGAATGGCATGGATTATCATAGGGCATACATTCTTCTATGGGACCCATAATATAGGTGAGACATCTTTAATGGAATATACTATTGTTCCTTCCCAAACCGACTTCTGATGTAGGAAGTTTGTAAATGAATATATATCCCTTACGTATATAGGCAACAAATACGCTGGCTCAATACTATCGGAAAAATTTTACATGCAAGTCTTAACCAATGGAACATTTTCCGTGGATACCTATTTCTTTATCAGTGGCTTTTTACTATCGTACGTATTTCTGAAGATAGAACAGAAACAAAAGTCAGCCATGCACCTAAAAGCAAAAGTGGCGCAATTTTTCTCACTTATAGTAAAACGATACGTAAGGTACCGTATGCTAATAATATGAATTTAGTTCTGGTAATGAGATTTCAATGGGAATAAAACTTTATCAATTAACTTTGAAGGCTTACACCCGCTCTCCTCCTCACGATGGTGCTCGCGATATTGAATTTTGCATGGTACAACAAAGTATCCATATTTATTGCCATAGAGAAACCAGAAGCTGTATGCAGAAAATATTGGTGGAGGAATTTACTTTACATCAACAATTTGTTCGCCTGGAATGAAATGGTACGTATGATTTTATTAAATAATTTAAGGCAAGCATCATTAGAAAAGGATAATTTACAAGAAGCAATACTTTCAGTGTCTTTCCTGGACTTGGTACTTAGCAAATGATATGCAGTACTTCATTTTTGGCTCGTTCCTTCTACTATTATCGCTCTCGTGAGTTTTGCGTTTTATGTCTTCGATCATTTGCCGAAGAACTTTAAACTTTAGATTACTAATTTGCTTCACAATTTTAGACACTACAAAACTGCTGTCGGTATAAGCATTACTATAATATTTGGATCGATATTGTTTACTGCTTACACTACATATGAACTTTCTTACATTCCTACGTAAGTATACAAAATATATGATATCCATCTCATATGAAATACGTGTATATATATATATATATAAGTTTATTTTTCTAGACTCGACGGACAATATGAAGTATTGGGCAACATTTACCAAAGACCGTGGTATAGAATTCCACCATATCTAATAGGTGTCGCCACATCCCAGCTTCTTTCCAAATGGAATTACAAATTACATTTATCGAAGGTAATATATGCTATTAGTCATTCGTTTCTTAGATTATCGTTTTTGAAGTATACATGGTTATAATATTATGTACCGTTCTTAAATTTATCTTTCAGAAAATGTTAATCACTTGTTGGAGCTTAGGAGTTATCTGTAATTGTTCGATTCTCTTTGGTATAGTCAACAAAAATATATCCATAAATACATCCATGCTTTACACTTCCTTAAGCAGAACCTGCTGGGCTTTTGGTATAAGTTGGCTTGTAATTGCCTGCTGCACAAATAATGGCGGTAAATCAATTATTTTTAAGCTTCTCATTGATGTAATAATGTCATTTTTCTTCTTATTGTAATATTTTTAATACACACGCGTTACAATGTTTCACACACGATATTCTTATAACAAGTTGATGAATCATGTTCAAATGTATTTTTATGTTTATAGGTATAGTGAACAAAATTTTATCATACAGCGGCTGGATTCCTTTGAGTAAATTAACGTATTGCACTTATCTTCTAAATCCTATAATTGTACTTTCGTTTTATTCATTCAATAATTATACTATCTTCATTGATGTATTATCATCGGTAAGTGTAATTACGTATCAATTGAAGCAATATCAACAAAATATTATTGAAAATAACATTCTACTTCCTTTCAGATATTTATGTTCCTTGGAACAATTATAATTTGCTATATTTCTGCTATTTTGTTATCCTTAATATCAGAGGTGCCATTTATAACGCTTCAACGACTGATCATTTCCCCACGAAGAAGAACGAAATGAGTACATAGCGATAATTTTGGGACATTTAATTTTATTATGATATTTTTCACGTTTAATGTGGTTTATTGTTTCTGAAATCATTCACAGTGTTATTTAATGGTTCTTACTACCTGGGAAGGAGGATCAATCTATAGAATCATTTGCGCAAAAATTGTAAACCTTGTTTTCCTTTTTTATCAGTGAGCGTTTTGTACATAGCAAAGTGATTCGAGCGAAAAAGGAAAGCTCATATATAAATAACTACAGATCATTGAAGGATGAAAAAGTATCTTTGTCGTGCTACGAATGGACTGGGGAATGTATCCTAGGTGGTGCCGGTGATGTCATTGATCGATTTGCTCGACTAGCCTGTTCACGACGGCCTTCCTCGAGTTGTTTTTCGAGTTGTTCCTTTAAAACTAGTAATTCTCTCGTTCGTTGGTAAACAGGATCCTTGAAGTATACAACACAAGGAATGTATAAACAATGATTTGAGACAACCTAAAGAAATTAGATCACTAAAATATTTAATATACCTGCTGTCGCATACTAGGATTCCATCTGCAATACAGACTTTTCCATGGTTTAATGTATCTCATACTAGCAATTGGCATTAAAACCGGTTGATAATTAGGAGCAGCCCAGTACAAAGGATTTTGATACAATGATAACTGACTATTTGTATATGACCATAAGGAAACAGTTTTTTGTTTCACTTGTTCCTGAACTCTTTCGCGTTCACTGTAGATATAATTATAAATGATGACTGTAGCAGATATACAACGATTAATGTAAAGTATTTAATATACCTGCTAAAGAGAAATGTTCCAAATCTACAAGAATACAAGTGATCGAGGATAGTGATTAGAAAATGTTCGTTGAACTCAAACGCATTAGGAAATTGACGACTTATTTGCCACACACAGTCCATAAACTGCAAAAATACCGGAGATCTGTCTGCGTCACTATGATGTTCGTCACCATGACCGATCCTCTGAAACGCATTATTAGAATTATAACACTTTAAATAAACGTACAAAATATCTAATTAGACATTGCGTCGTATACCTGTTGAAACTTATGACCAAAACTAAGCCATTCTTTTTCTATAAGCACTTCAAAACCTTTGATGGTTCTGTAATATGGATCTAACATTAACATGGCAAGAGCTGTGAGCTGTAAAAAGTTATACATATTAAAGGTACACTATGCTTAAAATACAATTGGTATTTCTTAATTACCTGTGCTGTTCTATCCCAACCATCCGAACAGTGCACTAACACTGAAGTTTTATGATTTTCAACTTTATCTACAATTCGTAGTGCACCCGCAAGTACGTATTTTATGTGCTTTAACCAAACGGTAGATTCTATTCCTGATAACCATCTGGCTTCATCAATTGTCGGAAAACATAATTCTAAAAGGCAATTAATTGCAATATTAATATTTTGTTTTCAACTTAAAAAGACTTATCAGTAATATTCTACCTTTTAATTTTCTAAGACTTTCTCTCATTACATGTATATTATGAATATCAAGAAATACGAGCTCTGCATTTTGATAAGCGTCTTCACTCTCGTAACCACCACCTTTAGCTTTGTTTGCCACTGCGTTAGGCATTGGTCGGGCATCCATGATAAAAAGTTTATGACTTTGTGCATTGGCGTCCATTATTAGCTGAACGTATCGCTCGTCTTCGCGACTGCGTTTACCACCAACACCTACTAATGGTTGAGCGCAACGAGTTATTGTTGCTTGACTTTCTGGGTGGATCCACGACAGTACCGGAAGCCTCCCTCTACTTCGAAATGCTGCCGATGCTTGTAAATCTTCATCAGTTGCTGCTGCAGGTACTGCCCAGACGGCTGGATAACTGTCACATATCGAATACATATCGTTGATTTTCGATATCTTCCACATATCATTGTTTACTCCCTAAAAGTAATTGTAATGCTAATACGCGCTTTCTTGTTATTAAAATTCGAGATATATAATACTTTTTACCATTCGTTTTAGTTCCGCTATTGGCTCGTAAACATTCCATCCATTTTCAGAAAATGTTTCGGAATATTCAAACGCAAATAAGGGTAATTTATGAGATAAAGGAAAGGAATACTGTTGAAGTTTCTCAAAAACATCTCTTCTGGAATGATTTTCTTGCTTATGAGCAAATCTAAGATTTCGCATGTCTTTACAGAAGACTTCAATGCCATAAGAATTTTCGCCTTTGCTAGACGCACCGCCAACTTTTTCAATTCTACTAACAACACCTAGAGGTACTTCAACTACATAAGGCGTTTCACGATCTACACTTCGAAAGTGAAGTTTGTAATTTGTAATACTAAGAATTCCCCTGACTGGTCCTGAATAAGGGCACACATAAGTCACTTCATGAGCAATGCCTTGTACACGTTCCCCATTTAAAAGCGGTGGGCCTGTCTCTCCACCAGATAAATTCTGTGGAAAAAGCATAAGTATATTTTTAGGGCAATCTGTAAATAATAGACACAAGTATCTAACTGCTATTTCAGCTAAATATGCTGGTAATATATACACTGAAAAAGTAAAAGTGATGCAACAGAATTTGCCAACAAAGAGATGAAACGTACCAAATAAATGAAATCAAAGACATATTGTCTGAAAAAAAAAAAACAAGTTCTGATAATAAGTAAAGCTAAAAAAAATAGAAAAACTACAGTAACTCTACTCATCTATATAGAACTCACTTTTACTTGATTGTCTTTTCTCGCTTCTAAAGCAGAGACAATATTATTATCTGTTGAAGTAGAGCTTGAGGAAAAACTTTTGGAATGTGATGCTTTATCCCAGCTTTCCTAGAGAAGTTCAATACTTACATACTGTTAGATGATAATTAGATCTAAATCGAAACACTATATGACAAATTAAACTAAGCTGTATTACCGATTCTTGACCCATCTTAGAATTAAGAGAGCTGCTCTTGCTGTCTGAATTGAGAGAATCGGAGCTGGCATTTTTAGAATTGTTTTGTTCAACATTCAGAAGTTCAGCACTACCTCTCTTCTCCATGCTTTCAAGTTAAACAGTTTCTTCTGTTCTCACATTTGATATAATATCATATTTGTATATAATTCCAACTGCTACATCTTCCAATGCAATACCTTTAAAAATAAAATATTAAATTCACTATATATTTATAAGGTATTAAATCTCTGATTTAATATTTTCATTTACATCAATGTATAAAATAGGAATAAACATATGAAAAAAATAATTTCTGCAATAGCAACAATGTAAAATATTGAATTGTTTATACATGTTCACAAATTGAAAAATAATGTATAAAATAGATAAAATTCGCACATTTCTGTCTAGATCACTTAACCTCAAAACTGCGAATTTTCTGTTACAATTCAAATTGTTATGAATATAAATATATAACACATAATTACAAAAATAACAATTAAATATATAAAATACATATTTTATATATGTAAATATGTTGTGATTAATAGTAATATAAACAAAGCTATTTGATGCCACGCCCAGAAGCATTGTAATTATAATTTTCATATATATCAGAATGTACATTAATCATAATACTGTTTAAATATAAACAGTAGCTCAAAACACTAACCTTATTCACAAAGTATTACATAAAGTTTTCTATTATGCTCAACTCTTTTGGTATAACTTGTGTTTGACAGATATACTTAGTTCACGGTCTGGAAACTCGAATAGAAAAATTCAGGAACTAATGTAGTTCGTTTTACACTCACTTTGGCGCTGATGACAACTTTATTTTCAGAACACCTGAAAGAGTAACAATAAAATTTATATCTGTGAGATTATCTTCTTTAATATTGACTTTATCTACATATTCTATGCACTGTTTAGTAATTACTCCTTATGAAAATACATAAAATATATCATTTCTGCACGAAATTGTTCCCGGATCACGTCGCAGTTGTATCTTACTTCTTGCGTACTTCTAAGTACCGCCAAATAGAAATTATAAATTACAGATAAAATTAAAATATTACATTACAAAATATTCTGAGAAAAATTTGAATATTTAAATATAATTCGAACTTTTTCCAAACATTATTTTTAGAACAATAACTATTTTGTTAAAAATTTGTCAAGTTAAAAGGAAGAAACTATGTCAAATTGAAAATTTCACTTTTATGGACGAGTCCAACGAATATATAATTTTGGAAAGCTAAAGGCGAAACAATAACTACGTTTCAATGAGGATAAAAGAAATATTTGACCTTCAAAGTCTCACGATGATAATACGTCTCCATTAGGGAAAAATAGTAAAGAAGAATTTATATTATCAGAAATACACGATTAAAATTTATATCTTCAACTGATTTATAAATTATATTATCGCGTATTAAATTTACTATTCGTGGCTACCATAGCTACAAATTTAATTCTACTTTTTATATGGAAAGACATCAAAACAAAGGGTACGTTATTTAAACTATAAATAATTTTCTCATAATGTTACATATTCATATTGTAAATAAATACGATTAAGTTAGTACCGTAGAGGTTTCGGAATAATAAAATCTTGTTAGTCAAGTGACAAATCGAATTATACGTGAACTGCTTTCCAGTCGTTTTGGCAAATCAAAAATCATGTTCCACGATATTGTATAAGTATCTATAAATCAAACGACGCGTATTATTATATCTTTCTTCGTGCTTATCTCATCAATAATATTTTAAGCTCTCATTTTAGAAGTAGTTCAAATCGCGTAATATTAGATCGATAATCTTGATTTATTTAAATGTACTTATTAAAATATATACTAGATTTTCTCAAAGAACGACAAAATTTTGTATTATTATTAATTTCTGATATCTTTTGAGTAGGTTTTATCGTGTCGTGCAATCTACAATGCATTATTTATTGGGGAGAAATTACGAATTTATTTATAAAAAAAAAAATGGTTGCTCAACGGAACAAAATATAGTTGTCAGAGTTTGACGATGATGCAGCGATTTCGATTAAATGTATTCCACAATATAGAGCATATTTGTAACATGAAATATAAAACTCTCATCATCAACTATATATATCGTTAACTTTGAACATGGTCAACATATAAATATACAGTCATTACGTTAAGTTAAATGTATCCATACAATACATACAGTGAATCTATACACGGTATAAGTAAGATCCCTACATCTGCTCTTTTCTTTTTCTGTGTTCCTTTTTTTTTTTTTTTGACACTTTAGATACATACATAAATGCATACACACGTATATGCGAAGTATATATATCTCGGAATATCTCGCTAATACACAATTATACAAAACGCTTTAGCGAAATCCGCGCTCGCGTGTGTGGTCCTTTTGTATTTTTTTTATTTTGTTTCTTTTTCCCTTATAGAAATTTACATTTACCGATGGTACGTAGAGACGCCACCAATTAGAAAAGAAAACAAAAAGTACAAGTATGAACGAAAATATATATATGTAATATAAATATATATATTGTATTTATATTACAATATAAACACACACGCATATATGTGTGTGTGTGTGTGTGTGTTGAAAAAGTTTCATTTACATGAATTACAAAGAACGGAGTATTGGTTCAACGGATAATGTTCCTCTCTTTTTTTCCGTGACACTTAGATTGCTTGTTACGTATGTAGTAGCATTTTGGCACTTATAGCGAAGAATTTTTTGGAGTATAGAAGAGTTTACGCAGGGATAATGCTATTTCTTGTTTACATTCTTTCTCTTAAATGGATTACAGGATCTTTTAGGCCAACACCGAAATGTATCGCGTTCGTGTTTGTCTATTGGGTAGTTATCGTTTATTTAACATCTGCCAATTGCAAAAAAAATGTACGGAATCTTTAGGAACACGCAGAGAAACATCCGTAGTAACTTCTCCGTTTGTTGGTCAGTCTCCAGCCTCGATGGGCTCTCTCTCCTTCTTTACTGTTCACGCGAATAAATTCATCTCGACGAAGAGCCCGAGAGATCCCCGTCGAGTCCTGCTCGCCGTTCTCTCTCTCGATTCGCAGAGTGTGTCTGGGTAGGTGTGTGTTATGTGTGTCAGTCTTATCTGGTGGTACACGGCCAACTCGGTCACGTCATTTGTGCGGCGTTGAAGCCTCGTTTCCTCGGGGTGCTAAAGTGTTGCGGGTTGCTGATCTGGTACTGTTGCACGTACGGATTGTTCCTAAGGACGTTACCACCAGGTGAACCGGCCGCATATTGCGATGATACCGTGATTATCCCGGTTTGTTGCAAATACTGTTCGCGATAGAGTGCCTGTTGCGTTACGTATTCTCCATTCACAGGATTCTGAGCACTGTAATGGACCTTCACGGTTTTCGCGGTTGGCTGATTAGCGTTGCACTCCTTATAACTGTCTTGATAACGTAAGCTGGTCGGAGAGGAACCAGGCGGCGTGACATTTTTCAAGCTCTGGGTCGGACTTTGAGTGATCGACTCTAGCACGTGCCTCGGCATATTTGGCGATGGACAGTGGGCCTCCTGCAGACCGTCTACGCGATTCGCGTTTCTCATGTAAATAGGGGCGCTCTCCGGTCTACCACCGACTATATTCCTCATTCCTTCTCTATCTTTCGCGCTCAAACTTTGCCGGGATGAATTCAGGCCCGAACTACGGTTCTTCGTCGCGGACGGAGACGCATTGTCCAGGTCAGACACGCTCGACCAGGTCACACTAGCTAACTCCCACTGACGGAGAAGATTGGACACTCGTTCGGCTCTGGCGGTCGTGTCGAGACTCTCGTCGTAGTCCGGCCCCTGAAAATCATTCGTTATTACTTTAAAGACATTACTACACAGAGTTACCAAGTATTATATTACAAATATATGTACTCGAAAAATTTTATTCACGATACAAGTACACGCTCGTGTTGATGTTGTTTCAGTGTGAGAGATCGAGATTACCATTAGAACGGTCAAGAACAACCAGTATACAAGAAGGAGGAAAAAAGCTACGAACAGCGAACATCTTCGGAACGAACGCAAGGCTGTTAAGTGTGTAGTCGATGAAATATCGGGTAAATTCATATGCCACAGTCGATAAAAATTGCAACCAGCCGACCAATCGACCGACGCCGCACACGAATTAATATTATTATTGAGACGAGGCTGCCACAAGGTCGGTGAAGCCTTAAGGGAACATCTATTTCACATACCCTGATTCTAATGTATTTTGCCACCGTGATACTGAATACGCCAGGTATTCAAGGTTGTTCCTGATCGTTTTATAAGCCGAATGTTTTGTCACGTGTACGTATAGGATAAATAACGAATCTCTGTTTGCAAATGATGGAAGAACTAAACGAAACGATCTGTAAACTTTTCAGAATTACACGCAACTCACATTTTCGATTTTCTCGTCCAGCATCTTGAAGAAGTCGAGTTGACTAGTGGATATCTCTCTGAAAAATTGGAAAAGAATAATCAGTTATTTGTTCAACATAACCGAGGTAAAGAAATTCAAGATATTAGCTTTAATATATAATATTCGTAGCGATAATCGCTGAATACGAATGTGAAAAGACCAGAGAGACTTAAATACAAACGAAATATCGGCACACAGAAACGTACGTTTGTTGCAACAGAGGACCACTTCCAGGTGCGTTCGGCTTCTTCTTGGCTTGGCCCTTGATCTCGCCAGAACCATTTTGTTCCTCGTTTCGATTCACCTCCACCCCGTTGTTATTCGTTTTGTTGTTTTTCGTACTACCGTTTCCATTTTTCTGTTCCACAGACGCAGAACCTGTAACACGAATATCAGAAAGATGTTGAGCCACAGATTCAATGGAATCTTCAAATCTAAGCAACACAGGTAATACATGTAAATTAAAAGATTCGTTGCACACTACATTCACGTTTACTATTTAAATTTAAATCAACCCTACGTTTATCCTTTTAGGATAAACGAAGTTCTTGGAGAAACAGCTGATTACAACCGCGTTGCTCCTTTCGCTAAAGGATCGTGAAATAGACGATGGTAGATCGAAAATACATTTTTCCACATTTTTCTTTCTTTACCAGTAAGATACTTGAAGATATTGGAACGATACCCGCGTCTAGCATCCATTCAGTCGAACAGCTGATGTCATCGATGCGTTCGGATCGCGAGAAAAGAAGACGTGGAAAGTGTTCGACGCAAAACGATCGACAGCGCTGCCTGTCCGTTAACTCGCGAGGGCGAAACAATTGTACAAAGTGCAAGTTCAAGGAGCCGTATCAAGCCACTTCCCGTGTCTTTTTCTTCTGTGCTTCGCCAGCAGAGGAGCAAAAGCGTACAGAAAGGAAAACAACGGTCGGGAAAGACGGAAGGAGGAGGGTTTGTCCGCGGAGAGGTCGCGAACTCGAGCGTTATCGTACATAATAGGCGCACAATGGGCAAAAGCAACCAGTGACAAAGAGTAACAGAACGAAGCTCGAGCAAGACTATTTTTCACAACGACGTCGAGTTGTGACGGTGCAAAAGGAGAAAAGAAAACGCATATAAAGGACACGAATGAAGTGCAAGGGTCAAGATTGAGCTCGTAAACACGTTTAATCTTATCGCGAGCTGGCTTGACACTTTTAAGGGCCGCCACACTCGGGCCCGAGTCCAAACGGAATATTCGATTAAAATAGACCGACCGCCAGCTATAAATGACCGGTTGAAAAGTAAGTGGCGCGCATCAACGAGCGGCACCTCTCGTCGTGGCTTTCAGCGACACACATAAGTACGTATATGGGAATGCGGTGTACATAGCGACTAGCTGTAGTTACAACGTTACATCCGCGAATTACTCTTTTACATTCCAACAATGAAATGGTAACAGCTTTCCTTCGTATGACATTAAAAGAAATTAATTCAATGAGACACCAAAACGAAAAAATACTTTGGACTCGTTAGACAACCTGATTTTGGCTCCGCTTTGGGACACCGAGTAGGAGGCAAGTGTTACACTTGGGAAGCTTATATCTCGAGGATTACAATGGGACTGGTAGTGCCGTAAACACTGCGTTCTCCCTGTACCCCTCTCCATGCGCTGTCCAAATAACTGAAGTTGCGCTCCGATTTTTCGTCAGTTCCTATTCGAACGGCATTGCCATAGAGAATCTGGATCATTCGGTAACTCGACCTACACCCAACGATTAAATCCTCACGAGCAGATTTAGCCGGTCATGGTGTACCCCGTCCAACTGACCAAGGATAAAGCAGCGAGCATCGATTCGCAAAAACACGACCTTGGAACATGAATCTCGTACTAAATATTACATGGATTCGGTGTAACAGGCGTTACTCAACGCGTCCGGATAAAGCGACAAGTACAACGGCGTCAGATAAAGCTATCGGCACCCAATTCGTTCTTCTGGCGCCACAGATCTGGCGACAAAATACTATTCTCCATATTCGATAATCGATAGCACGTCGAACAGCAACCCAATTATACGGATACTCGCGAGAGCATCTTTCCGCTCGCAACTCTTGGAGGAGCCAGCACTCAGCCGATTGATCGTCGACGAAGCGAGGAAGCTTCGTCCCGGTTTCGGTGCAATCATTATTCCAGACGGAAACGGATGATGGATCGTCTCGCGGGGCCGATCGACGTGCACACGCGCGCATGCACATGTGGTCCATTCATTGGCACGCGAGGCGACCAGAGACGGGGCGCGAAAGGGAGCAAAAGGAGAATGAACTCGGATTACAATGAAACGCAAATAAACCCGAGACACGCAGAGAGCCGGGAACGAGCGGTGGCGCTCTCTTTGCACGTGTGTAGGTCAGTAGGTGGGTCCTCGACTCACTGCACTCGTCGTCGCTCGAACCACGCGCGAGTTGCAATTACGCGACCACACGTTTGACGCCTGTTTCGTGATACCATGACACCCACGCGTCTACCTTAACGACCCATCGATATGTTCGCACGAGTAGCACGCGTTTGACCCTTTAGCCGGGGCATGCTTCGGGGAAGAAATCAAGACTTCAGGAAACCACGTTCCTCTCCCGTAGACCGGGAGAAGGACTACTTACGAGTCGAAAAGGTGTGGATCTACGTGAAAACATAAGCGGAAGTTATGGTTTGTACCATCAGTTCGACGGTACCCTGTAATCGGTAATCGCAACTGAAAATTCTACGAGCTGATCTACCCTCGTAGGATCTCAATCCAAGATGGACATTTACGAGCTTGCATTTTGGAAATAAGCGAAAAATTTCCTCAAATATCTCCAGTCGTTACAGACACTCGTAAACTTGAAATATTACGGTCCCCGTCGACTTCTTTCCTTTATTTCTTCGACCCTCTGCTAATTTCGCGTTACGAGGTTCCCAATGGTTTTAAACATCCTTTATTTTTCTTTCCACAGTGTATACAGACACGGCGAGTCTTAAAATACCGAAGGAAAATTTCGCCAGAGGATATCAATCGCGAGAGGTGCTTGGTCGAACCTTGACGGTTCAATGAATCTCGCTGCAGGTCCCTCGGTCGAAATATAGGAGGAGACCGCGGTATTAGTTAATTTCGACTAACAAGTGGTCTCAGAGGAGGCAAGGCTGACTGCCTGCGCGAATCTGTATCGGCGTGGACAGCTACGAGGGGAATTTATTGGATAATAGAGAGAAAAATGGACGCAGCTGGAAGCATTTTTTCCCTCGTGCACGCGGATCGAATGGAACTCCGTGGTACCAGCGAGAGTGACCTATCGGGAAATAGAGAACCGGCGACGGGGAAAACAACAAGCGGAAAACAACAGGAGGAAAAGCGTCCGTTCACGATCGAACCGCCAATTACACGATCGCGTCGTTTGTGAATTTTATTTCATCCGTATTGGCCAGAGCCTCGTTGTTCGAAGACAAAGGCACGCTCGACGATGGAAATGTCTGCATTGAAGCGTCGGTATATACGGCACCAGCAAAACGAATGCAACGAGAAATTCATCGCGAGCAAATTGCGGAAACGTTATTAACGCGTGTGTACATTAAGCTGTCGATTCATTGTCCGTCCAGCGATAAGTCTTCGTTATTTGATCGTCCTACCACATGATCCTATTAAAGCTTTAATACCATTACCTAACCTGACCTGATCTGTTTACTTGTTACGCGTGTACCGCTCATGCCTCGAGAACCCGTACAGAGAAGGAGCGAATCCTAAATCTAAAAAGCGTATTTCCCAGCGACCGTAAACATCGTTGCTTACGATGCCGTGCGTCGTAATTGCGAGCCATGTTGTCGGAAGCCCTGTCGAACAAATCAAGAGGCTTTCCTGGGAACGCAGCTAGCGATCGGCTCCGTATTACGCGTCGTCGGGGATGTCACGCAAAGACTTCACGGTCGTCTTTGAAATTACCGTTCCTCAAACCCGAATACCACCGATGCAAATCCTCGACCTCGCGCAGCTCTAAAAATCGAAAAAATCACGTGTCTTGTCGAATAACTTTCTAGACAGAAGACTCTTGTCTCCCGTTTTCAACGGTGCCCGTTCAATTTCAACGCCATTTAAAAACGTACTCGAATCAATTTGCACTCTGAAATTACCATGAACGGAAATCCTCCACGCCGTGGATATAATTGCATCGGGAAAATCGATCACGCGCCTTCTTCCTAGATGCAAGAAAGATTCCTCTTCCGTTTCCAAGACGGATGTCCGTTCAATTCCAAGGAATTTAAATATACTCGAGTCAACGCGCGAGATTGGGGAAAAAATGGGAAAAAAGGAAAAATGTGAAAGCTAAAAATAGAGTTAGAATGTATCTCGAGAAGGCTTCGAATAATCCCACGGCGAAATCGTATTTGCATTCACGAGTGGAAAGGCCGAGAAACCGGTCGAATGGGTTGCTAGGATTCAGCGGCGTTCGTAGATACATCGGGAATGTTTCAAGCGTCCCGGTCGGCGGTGTAACGAAAAATCAATCCGCGGGAATGGCTCTCATTCATCCGGCTCGAATTCCCGCGGGTTTCGAGTTGGCACAGCGCCGAAGGTCGACGTACGTCGGCCAACAACGTCGAAAATTCCATAAAACGCCTCCGCCAAGCGGCCACGAGTTCGCGAAGCGGGGATTTAGGCGAGAGATGCGTGAAAAGTGAAAATAAATCCGTGACGCGCGAACGATCGCCCAATCTTTCCTTCCACCGAATTCTCGATCTTCGCGACATCTATCCGCCGCGTTACCCTTAACCCTATCGCTGCGGCGGCCATTGCAGCAGGAGAAAGCGCTTCCGTTGCACGAGTGAAAAGCGATTTCGTAGGAAAAGAGGCTTGGAATGTGAATCGTAACGTGATTTTCGCGTAACGCGCGTGCAGTGGAACCTCGAGGACGAAAATTTCGTTCGCTGCAGCTCGATGCACGCGATGGGTATGGCGATGCTCGCAGCGGAGGCATAAACGATGATTGACAATGGGAGAATAGCGATCATTCATCGTACGATTAGTTGCCTCGATCGTTGCGGGGAATATTTTGTATGGGAAAGATATGGGTACGAGCGTTCGAGTACTCGGGGTAATTAATTATTGCCGTATACAATGCTGTATACGGTGTATTACGATTTTTGCGCAGAAAGTTTGTTGCGTTTCAACAACGTGTGACGAGTATGACGACGCTTGTAGCGAGGAAATAAATGATGATTAATAACACAAGAATCGCGATCATTAATCATGCGATTAGGCGTCTCGATCGCTGCGCGAAGAATTTTGTATAGGAGTACGCACGAACGTTTAGGTACTTCGTGTAATTGATTATGAGACAATGCAGAGTTTGCGCAGTTGCGTGCGTCTTAA